AAACCATTCCATGATTCTATGATGTCCTACTAAGACAACTTCGGTGTGTTGTTTTCTTGCCCAGGTAGAGGCGTATTTACGCATCGATACCAGTTAGTCGTTATTTCCAGGCCCACTGACACCATGGCCTAGACCACATTTTGATGCCCTAATAAGTACCAGGTTTGGGGTGGTGTCATTGGGGTCAACTGAACTTTTGGGACCCCAGGCTTCCAAAGGTCTCACCCAGGAAGGCTTTCGGGGATTACGGTCTGGCCCAGCAGATCGGGCCTGGCAGGATGGATTCACCAGACAAAAGGGACTCTGGAGAATAATTTGAGGTGAGATCAAGCCAAAATCTCTCCCTTTCTGCCACGCCTGGTCACCTGAGCTGCCCCTTGCACTGTGCCAATTGGACACTTCTGGCACGCCCAACAGGACACATCTGGCCTGAACCCGGAAGCGCTTCCCTGGCGCTAGAGGGAGCGGGGTGGGCCTTGGCCTCTGGCGCTGGCACCCGGAGAAGATGGTGAGCACAGGGACTTGGGGGAATCCGTCGCCATTTCAGGCACTGCAGGGCTGCGGGCCTTGTCCGGCGTGCAGGGTGGTCCTACGCCCTGCTGCCTCCAGGCTTGGTGGCGGGAGGGTGCTGTGGGCATCAGGGCCTGAGGGCCTGTGGGTGGGCGCCGCTCCTGGTCCAGCTGGATGCGTGGGCCTGTGCAGGGAGGCTGCAGTGGGGTGGTGGGGCTGTGGTACCGCCGGGGTGCTTTTGAAGGTCTCTTTTGGGGAGCGAGGTCTCCTCTGTGCTTGCTGTGAGCCTGGCTGGCACTCTCCCCAGGAACGAGGCAGCCTTGCAGATAATGTAGCAAGAGGGGTTTTGGTCACCAGTGTCTCTTCTGGTGAGCGTATGGCTTCTGTACATGAAATAAACACCTTTTCTCAGCCACAGCAGTTCACTTGTTATCACTGGTGATATAGAGCTGAAAAGAGAGTTGGCATTTCAGAGTTAAGCGTGCCTCCTGACGTTGATGGGACTTGGGAAGTTTATGTGGCCTTCTTAGAAGAGCTTTGCCATTGAGATCCGGGACTTGCGAGCGCTGGTGAGATTTACAGCGCGGCATGTTTTGAAACTTTTTTATTAGACCAAGGGGACGTCATGATTTGGTAAGCGCCATAATAAGATGCACACTTTATGTCGTCGGTGTGGGTCCAAGGCGTACCGTCTCCAGAAATCTACCTGTGGGAAGTGTGCTTACTCTGTGAAGCGGAAGAGAGAGTGTAAGTGACAGGGACTTTATTGCAGCCTTCCAGTA